AACCGCTGAACTGCAGATAACAGTCAGCTGAAGTGGCCTGCAGTACTGCACCCTAACCACTGCGCCAGCTTGGCTCCTTAATCCTTTCAACCATTAAGAATGGGGACTTCTTTAAGAAGAAGAAAAGAGACATGTGGACTCATTGTGCAGCCATAAATAACTTGTCTTGCTTTCTCCCTCTTTCAGTGTGGAAAGAGTAAAGATAGCCCAAGAGTAAAGATAGTGGGATCAGGTCCTCCCAGGATATTGTACTGAAGATATTTCCTGTTCAGTTGCTCTTTTTTTCAGCAGAGATGCAGGCAAGGAGTTTTGCCCGGGGTACCCTCACTGCTGAATTTCAGGCAAGACCCAAATACACGGGTGTGAGTTGCCAGGATGCATCAATGAGCATTTGGTTAAAATCTTTGTGCTTTATTGGGAAGAAAGGGGGGTTACCAAGATCTTTGTTTGGGCCTTCCTTAGCTCCCAAGGGTGGAAGAAACATTGACGACTTTTTGGTGCAGTTCCAAATGAATACTTGACTTAGGGACATGGACTATTTTACATCTTCAGATGTTGGAAGGACATTGGATAGCAGCATCAGTGTCAGAGAATAACAGTCCCAGGAAGCAAAGCTACAATTTTCCTCAGGAAATTAATGAATCTGTCCTTTCTTTTCTCTCCTAATTGTACAGGCTGGACAATGATGGGGTTGACCTTTTAGGAAAGCTGCTGCAGGTGAGCAGTTATTATTATTATTATTATTTGTTTGTTTGGAGAATTAAGGTTTTCAGGTCTCTGACCTTTTCTTCTAGGAATCCTAAACTACTTACATTCTTTTCCCATCCCTAAGCAGTGGAAAAACCTTCCCTGCGATGACAAGCAAGCAACAGTCAACCTCATTAACAAATAGAGATCATATAAAAAAAATATTGTCTTGTCCCCAAAGAATAAATGCACTGGACAAAATGGGCTACCAATTAGGACCTCAAGTAAGCTGCTTATCTTCAAGGACTGTTGCAGAGCTATTCTTTGGGAGTGTCTGCATATATGCGCGTACACACAAAACAAATTCCAAAGTGGAATACATTAAAAAGGATCCATCAAGTGGATCCATCATAGAGCAGGTGCTCCTGCAGAAATAATTCTGCTTTGCTTGCCTTAATTCCTCCCTGTACAACCTGTGGGTGCTAATATGGCATGTGACTGTAGATGGAGAAGTAAAAGAGTTTTCGAACGCTATGGATTTCAGCCCCTCTGCTTGTTTTGCAGGTCATTGCTGGCAGGGTTTTATTCATTGGTCTGTTGGTCAAAATAGGTGAAACCTTTGATCCAAAAGTTCAAATATTGATTCAATTCAAATATTTTGCACTAGGCATGGATTGACAGCCTGCCACATGCAGCCCCTGTGGGCTGTTTGCAGCCTGCCCAGTGTGTAAAATCTCTGTGTTTAAAAAAATGTAGTCAATACTTGATTAGAAATATTTTACAATTCACAGTATCCTTATAACTGAAGATAGTTAAAATCCTGGGGCTTTTCCACTCAGTTTGGTCTCTTTGTTAAGGCTAAAAAGTAGGAGATTGATTCAAGTCCTGCCTTAGCCATGAAAGCCGACTGGGTGGCCTTGGGCCACTCTGGCAGCTCAATTCCCCTCACGGGGTTATTGTGGAGAAAATAGGAGGAAAGTTTATCGAATTATGTTCACCACCTTGAGTTATTTGTAAAAAATAATAAAGGTGGGATATAAATCAAAGTAACATACTTTGCACATTCCTTGCATTCTGGGTCAGCACTCCAGTTTGTTCTGAGTTTTCTCTTGTCATAAGCATTGGGAAGAGGAGGCAGAGGTATCTGAATGGTTGTTTTGATGTTATGGAGATTTGGGGCACAATTTAACCTGTGATTCCAACAATGTGATAACTTCTTTTTTTTTGGGGGGGGGGGATGCTTTTGTATTAGGAGAAAAAAGCTAGATGCCATTAGCAACCGTCATCCAGTCACTAAGATTGATCTTTTTTCTATTCTCTCTTTTTCTCTCCCCAAATGCAGTTTGAGGGCAGGAAGCGGATCTCTGCAGATGAGGCCATGCGTCACCTGTTCTTCCACAGTCTGGGAGAGCGGGTCCTCAAACTTCCAGACAGTAGGTGCAGGCTGAAGATGGAGGGAGGGAGGGAGTGAAGTAGTGGTTGAGTGAATGAGAACAAGGTTAAGAGAAGGGCATGTGATGAAAACACCAAGTGGATGACCATGAATTCATTTGCATGCTATGACCAGTTCTTGCTGAGAATGACATCTCCATTAACTTCTTTTAACTTCTCAGTTCCATCTGTTATTATGTAGTGGAGAGGACGTTTTCATTGATGGGCTAAGAATTTAAGGGCACCCATGCTCTTTTTGCAGTTATTTTATTACTCAGCTCATCTAGTGGGTTAGTGTAATTTCCTGCTAAAGGCTGCAGGGCAAATCTGATCAGTTACTTCAGCATATAACAGCTATCTTCATACTTCCTGTCAATTCAGAATCACAAAAGACAGAAGATTTAGATCAGGGGTGTCAAACTCGATTTCACTGAGGGACGTGTCAAGCTTGTGTTTGACCTCAGAGGGCTGGGATGGTGATGGCGGCCAGGACGTGGTCATGCTGGGCTTTGCCAGGATAAGCATGGTCATGGTGGACATTTGACGCAGGCTCAATATGTGCTTTTTCCCTTCTTCCTTTTCACAGTTCTTTACTATAATCATGTTCCTATCTTTTCTACCAGGTATTACAGGCAAACATCTATTACTTATTCTTCACACTCCACTAAACCTTTTGTTTCTAAATTTATACCCCATTAATAGTAAATAATAATAATTTGAAATATATGTAACTGTCAAGTGATCTTAGTGTTAGGATCCGATGTGCCTTAACAATAAAAATGCCCTACATCTTAAAATAAGACTCTGATTACACCTTTCAGAATTCTCCACATTTTTTAGGTCAGTGCAGCTCACTTGTTCTTCAAGGTGTGAATATTTTTTTTTCAGTTGTTCTTTCTACCATATCCAGAAAACTGCAGGCATGTAGCTATTGATAACTTGGTTTTCAGTTGTGTGTGTGTGTGCGTTTACACTTTTGTAAATGCCTTTGCTTCCCTTCTCCCCAAATATAATGTTTCTGTTTCTGAGCAGTTTTGTTTAGTTGAAAGTTCTGTCCGAATAGTGACCATTTAAATTCTGAAATGGTTGGAAAATAAATTTCTTGGAACCTCTCCCTTGTAATCTTTTATAAAAGTTATATAAAGAATAGGATTAGCATCATTGGCTTCCAGGTGATCTGATCAGATATTCAACCCAAGATCAATGATCCTGAACATTTTGCGCTGTTTTAGCGACGTGTAGAAAAGTTGTTTTGCAAGAATATCTCGGGAGGTCCT